GGGCGCGTCAAGTGCTAAGGTCAGTAGTCCCGTAAGTGCAGTGAATATTTTTTCCTCGGGAAGTGGCGGTGATTTTACCTCGCTGGATGTCGAAATACTGCCTCGATCTACCGTCGGATAGAGTTATTTTCCCCAACCAGGTGTCTCCCACCATCAGGGCACCAGGGCCTAGACGGGATATACTTTAATCTCCCAACTGGTCTCCCGGCATGTATAGTGCATGTTCGTGTAAATATGTTTATGTCAGGGGTGAGAATAGAACAAGGAAACGGAAGGAAAGATCGTGCGCACTTTAGTTCCTAAGTTATTGGTATTGCCTGTATCATAACTTGGGCTGCACTGTTTACTTAACCCTTTTCTCAACTATCTCCTTCTTGTGGCAGATACCTCCGACTTCTAGGGTGCGTGAGAGATTTTATTACCCCAAATTTGACTGCCAGCATTTCGTCAGCGTAGCTCTTAAACGGAATATTTCAACAACAACAACAACAACAACAACAACAACATGTCTTCAATAGATAATTTGAGGAACAGTGTACTTATACAAAATGGACGCTACTAGCAATAGAACCGGATAGAATGTAGTAATTAGTACGTATGTATGTATCTGTTTCTTTAGGAAATTGAGTGGAAAAATTCATTTTTATGTATTAAAATAATTTACATGTCAAGATATGACAGATCGTTTTTTTAAATATTTTTGGGAACTTTACATAAAGTTCGACGCGATGTCAAACAATACATTCTTTTTAGGACCAGCCTGAATGATAGCGTAGACAGTTTAGTAGGGAGCTGCCAATAAGTTTACCCTTGTTCGTTGGAGTGAAGGGGTTTCATGTTGATTAGGGAGGTCAAAGGGCGAACTTCACCGTCAAGCGCCTAGCAATCGGATCCTGGTATTTGCGAACCTGCTGACCTGAATATCGGAGGTCGCTAAGGTTTCTAGTCGTGGCTGCCTCGACCTGAAGAGTCTTCGATTCGAATCTCGTCTCGGGCATGGATAAGTGTGTGAAATATTCGCATATTTATTTAAAGTACATGATTGAAGTCTTGCGGTGACTTTATTTCCCCAATTGGCAAATGTGGTTTACGTAGCCTTGTTACATCGCAGCGATTACAGAAAACAAATCGTTTTAATCGGATTGCGAAAAAATACTCCCCCCCCCACCCTCAAGAAGTGCGCGACACTCAGCGCCCGCGACGCACGGCGTGCGTCGGCGGGGCGGCGATGCGCACCGCTCCGCACCGCGTCAGCCCCGGCCCCCGGAACTAGGTCGCCGGCCACTTTGCACGGAGAAAGTTGCGGGCCGACTCACCTGCCCGCCACGCCAAGCCGTCTGCGCCGCCAGCGCTGGACCAAGGATATTCCTGCGGCGCTTGCGACGACCCGCCGACCAGCGCTCAAACGCCTCCCGCCACGCCCACAACGGCCGCGCCACTGTCCCGGGCAACGCCACCGCCCACTGTTACCGCCACCGGCCCGTCCCTCACTGCGTCTGACACTGTCCCGCCGCTCGCGGCCCTCTCAACCTTTCGCGGCGCCCGCCCTCCACACTCGCCCTTCGCCACCCGTCCGCACAATTGCCCGCCACGTCGGCCTCTGCCCGCCCACCCGCTGACCCGACCCCGCGCAGCCGAGGCCGCCCGCCATCTCTCCCCCGCTGCCACACCTACCCTCCGCCCGCCATGCTTTCCCCGCCTGCACACTCCACCACCCGCTGTGCCCGCTTCCGCCCCACTGCCCGACACCGCTTGCCCGCTCCGATTCGCATTTCCCATCCGCTTGTCGCCCGTCCTGTCCCCAGTTCCCTCCGCCCCCGTTCCCACCTCCCGTTCCCCTTCCCGTTCCCCACCTCCGTTTCCCCGTCCGTTCCCGTCGCCGTACCCGCCTCCCGCTATCCGTCTCGTCTCCGCCCGTCGCCCGTCCGTCATAGCCCGTCCTTCCATCCCCCCCGCCCGCGCCGCCCGCCCGCCCCGCCGTGGCCTGGCCCGTGGCCCGCGGCGCTGGGCCTGCTGCGTCCGGGTTAGTCATCAGCCCCGGCGCAGGTGCTCGTGGCGCCAGTCGTGGAGGCGAAGGTGATCTGCCGTGTTTGGCGCGCGTCAATCTGCTACTCGTGTCAACCTTTCAACTCTCTCTGTATGATAAAAGCCAGGCTTGTGATGTGCTTCAAGGAAGCAGAAAACCGTCTGAGATGGCTCAGTGTAACAAGTGTTATTACTGCAACGTCTCTCACCAAAGGTCCTTGGGTTCGAGTACCAAAGATGGAGGCTTTTCTTCAATAGATAACGAGGTCGGATTGAGCCTTGTCTTGAGGCAAATTCCAGCGGCCGACTGCTCTGTTTGGTACTTTTTCGTGGTTTCTCCACACGATACCTTGTGAATGCCGGAACAGTTCCCTATCAAATGGGCTGTGGTCAATCTTTCCTTCCTCATCCTTGTGCCCTTACTTCCCACTTATACATACACGTTCATAACATTACCTACATATCGAAAGAGCGGTCGGGAACTTACACATAGAACTTATCACGATCAGGTGATGCCTTGCTGAGGTAAATACTTTGAGGGAGAAACCCTTTGCAAGACGTCCTGTAAGTCGGCGCCGGACTCCATGTTCCATCCAACACCGACATCTGCAGGCTCTATACCTATGTAGTTGACACGCGTATAAGTACAAAATACTCACTGTCTACCCAACTCACTGAAGAAAGCATAAAATAGGTAGGACATAAGTATTCATAAATAAAAGAAGGTTTTTATGATTTATCGATTTTAATTTCATCAGTTACACTCGACATTTCTGACTTGGATTTCCGCTGGGAGTTGAACATTGCTGAATTGCACAAACAGTCTTTTATTGACGTAGAATAATGGCTAAGTACCTTCAACGTCAGAAGAGATTTTGTCCTCCACGTCGCCTTTTTTTGGCACCGCAGATAACCACACAGTTCTCATTGTTAGACGTGGGCCGCCCACTTTTAGGGCATCGGTTCAGTTGCAGACTATTTTGCTTATTTGTTTAGCACTCACTTTAATTTTCCGTTGGATTGCTACACTTCGTCATTACTTAAACAATATTTTCTTTTGAGCTAAAAACTTCTTTGCACTCTTGTAAATGTATGTACAGAACGAGTTATTGTGCATCACTGTAATTTATATAATATGCTCACAAACGCGTGAAGATAAGACTACTTTGCAAGGTTGGAGCGGGGGGTCGCTAGAATGTACCTATGCCAAGTTGACAAGCAACACCGGAGATGTCGTTCGAATAATAATTATGAATCGTGGCGTTAAGACTAGCGTTCACTGACGCTATCTCACGCACTACACGGCATGTGCTTTACCCCGTCTCATGGTACGTGGTACTCTGAACTTTTCTGGGAGTGTGGTAGTTAAAGAAAAAGGTTTCGCATTTACAAGGATTGTCTATAAAAGGCGAACGTTACAAGTGATTGGTGTACCTATAATGATCTATCACTTATTCCATGAGTGCCGAATATGAATTAGGACGTACAGGTTCTTTTTCGTAGAAAATGTTCAGTTGGAGTTATTGTGAATTATCTGTATTTTTGAAAATGAAAACATTATTTGTATAATGCGTTAATATTAATTAAATGATAAGCTTTTATTATTAAATAATTTCTAATCCAAACCTGCCGTCTCCCCTTGAACCGTTATTGACCTTTCTGATTTTTTGATCAAAATATCGCCGACTATTCCTCTCTTTCCGTTATTGTCGTTGTTATTAATACCATTCACTTCTAGTCATAGATCTTTCAATTGCTCACCAGAATAAGAGACGATAGCAGCAATATTTCTATTCAAATATTGTAGCATATCATCATTTTAAATGCTTAAACAGTTATATCTGCCTAAGCTATATTAATAAAATATCAATATAAAGTAGAAATTTCTCATTTACAATTTTGAAGCAAGGGCTTCTCAAAGAATATTTGGATATTTTGTAATAAAATGGTCACTGAGATTGGGTTTTCCAGTTAAATTGTCGAGGAGTATAGTTTCTGTCTTCCGGTTTCACCTTCCTCAAGAGTCATTGCATCCTGGAAGCAAGGCCGTGATCGAGATCTATGTGTGACATTTCCATTAGGATTCAAAAAGGTTCATTTCTTCTGAGAACATTCCCGTCTCTTCGTACAAAGCTATCGAGTCACGGATCTTACATCGATCTTCTCTTTGTGTACTAAGAACTCCATGTTTCTTGTAAATTCCCAGCTATCACTTTTTTCTGCGAGCTGCGGTTTCTCCTTCAATTTTATTCAGGTCAGATATTCTCTTTTTCTCTTTTACTTACACAATTATCTTCTTTTAAGATTTTCTTTTTTTCATAAGTTAGCTCCTGTTTGTCAACTTTTAAGCAAAGTATACTGAGAATGATGAATCCTATTATTTTTTAGAATTTTACTTGTAACGTGGTAAATTTGTGTTTGTCAGATAATATAAACAATTTAACTCTATAGACATTTTTCAAGATTGTCATTTTTTATTTAATTTTGATCGTGTAATAGAGACCGACATTCCTTTCGAACGCATTTACACATTATCTAGCCTGACCTAAATTCGTGATTGCTCGAGAATACGAAAGAATACTTTCCCTTTGCATCAGTTTCGAGAAACTTGTACGGACTCTTGTCTTATATTTCGTTCTGAAAGGAACTTATACATTTTTTAAAATGTAAAATCATGTTTGCTATATCATGCACTATTTTTTAGACAGCCTTTCTTACTTTCGTTATATTTTAATTAAAGTACTGTGCAAATTAATCATTAAGATCAGAAGAAGCTGATGCGGAAGATGAAAGTATTTTGTTTTCTTTGTTGCATTCAGAAATTTATCTAAACACGTGAACGTCGTTTTACTTTTAGGAGTAGTGCTAAAAATTGAACGTTCAGCACACTACGCAGATTCTGAAAGAACTGATGTTACTAGTGGCTGTCTAAAAAAACTATTTTTAAAATAATCTATTCGAATTCTTTTCTTCAGGGCATTTTTCACGAAAATGCATCTGTGAGGCGATACATGCAAGACATCCTGACGCTTCCCACGTTAACTGAGTGTACAAATCAAGGAATGAAGTGATTGAAGCACAAGAAGTTCAATGTAAGTGATGGAATTTTTTTCACATGGAACTTGCTTTCTTATGAATTGCTCTTGTTGTGTTCATGACTGTTTTTTAATTTTAAGGATATGACTCTTACAAGGAATGTATTTTTTCTTGTCAACAATTGATCTATGCGAGAAGTCTATTCGAAAGCATATTCAATTGTGTATTGACCATAATAAGAAGATATAATTTCTTTTTTTAATTTGAATTTTCAACAGACTCCTGACGATATTAATGCAGTGGAATAAATAAAATAATATTCTTTGATTGTTAGATCATTTGTACATAATAGCTCCTACAAATTATAATATCAATATGGCTTAAACTTTCCTTCTCGTGTTAATCCTTTGAAATTAAGGGAAGCTTAACAAAGTCGAGAGTAAATTTTTTTCCCGTTCTTGAATGATTCCGTGAAACTTCCTGTTTGTCAAGGGTATTGCATGATTAAGTGTTTAAATAGATTTGTTGATTTATTGTGATTATGAATTTCATTGAATGTTTCATAACACTTGCAGAATTATTTCAGTAAATTCAGAAATGAACAGATATTTCTGGGAATTCTGTGTAGTTGCTACATTAGTAGAGATCAACCACGCAACTAAGCTGTAACAAGCAGATACTTCTGCTTGTTGTTGTAGTAAATGTTCGTAGTAATTTCCCTCTTTAAATCCCTGAAAATATGAAATGTGAATATGAAAAAACAATTTACTCTTAAACAGGTAAATATAAAAGCACATTCAACATTCTACAATTTGGAGGGATCTTTCTCTGCTCGCTCTGTCCACAAATATGAATATTATTTTAAATTTCATTACGCTAGAAGTGAGAATCAATTCTCTGGTTTTTCGGATGTGTTTGGGTTTGACATCAGTTTTCCTTTAGTTTCCATGGTCCAGTTGTTCCATCGACTGCATGTGTTCACGGAATAAATAACAAACCACGCGAAGAAGAGATATGAGTGTTACATTCATATTCCAGTTATGGAGATCGCTCACACGACTTTCCCTTTTTTTTCTTCGGGAAGTCCGGTAGTTGTGTACGGTTCCAATCACAGTGCAGGTTGTTCCTGTTTGAGCACAAAGCCAAACGTTGCGCTTCGCGGGAGTCACGCGTTCAACTT